AATAAACTGAGGCTAGGTTTGTATTCGGAGCTTTCTACCAGATGAAGCTAAATCACTGTTACCGTACTAGCAAAATACTCCATATGTGCTGCTCATATCCCTAAAAGAGCCAGCTAATGAGTATAGCTACACAAGGACTGAAATTTGATAGTGTGTTTTTTTTTTAATCAAGGTTATTATTATTATTAATCAATGATCATATAAATAAGTTTATACCTCTGAAAGTATCAATCAGTATATAGAACATAAATAATTGCACCAGCATGTTCTTAAGACGCTTCAGTCTCACTTCCTCCTCCTTACAGCTATTGTGAATCTTTCAACTACTTGGTTATTTTTCAGCAACAGAAGTCTTGATCATTTGTGTTCAGACATTTACATTCTCTTTCTCTGTTTTTTCAGTGGCATCTGTCAGTGTTATTCCTAAACCATTCTTTGCTTCTTTCAGTCTTACTTTAGCACACTCTTCTGAAAGTCATTCTCATCATGATTCTGGAGTTCGACAATACTGAACTTTACAGGATCTCATACTCTTCCACTCAAATACCTGTGCATAAAGATCTTTGCACTCAACCTGTCAGGGTAAGAATGACTATGCTGTCCTCTAGGTTTACAGAGCTTGAGGCCGCATCTAGATCGCTTAAAAGATTGGCTGTCCTCACTACCTTCCCTACCTTGTTTATCCATGTTAAACAGCTTATTCAGTTGTCTTCATTACTGGCCCAATTAATGAGCAGAAGTAAATAAGCAAGTGTGTTGAACTACCAGGCATAAAAAAAACAAAGAAAGGAGGGTAAGAAAGTAAAGGCAGGAAGAGTAATCCTAGGGAAGGTGCTCAAAAGTGATTTGTCATATTTCAGCTTCTAGGACTAATGGTGTTTTGATGAGGTGAGGTGGTGTGGCCTAACAAAGTGGCCAGCAGGTCATGGGAGGTAATTCTCCCTCTGCTCTGGTGAGACCATATCTGAAGTACTGTGTCCAACAGTAGGGTCCCCAGCGTAAGAAGGACATGGACCTGTTGGAGTTGAGAGCAGGGTCACCAAGGTGGACAGAGGGCTGGAGCATATCTCCTGCAAACACAGACTGAGAGAACTGGAGTGGCTCAGGCTGGAGAAGAGAAGGCTCTGGAGAAAAATTAGCCTTCCAGTACTTAAAGGTGGCCTACAAGAAATCTTGAGAGGGACTTTTTACAAGGGCATGTAACAAATAGGACAAGGGGGAATGACTTTAGACTGAAATAGGGGAGATGCAGATCCGTTATTAGAAAGAAGTTCTTCCCTGTGAGTGTGGTGAGATGCTTGAATAGGTTTCCCAAAGAAGCTGTGCCTGCCCGGTTTCTGGCAGTGTTCGAGGCCAGGTTGGGCAGGGTTTTGAGTAATCTTGTCTAGTGGAAGGTGTCCCTATCATGGCATGGATATTGGAACTAGATGCTTTTTAAGGACACTTGCAACCCAAACCATTTTGTGATTGTATGATACCTACTCAGGAAAATAAAGAAAATTCTTGGGTTCAGAAGAATTGCTAATATAGTCTCTTTCTAAATGTGTAGTGTGTAGCTGAAGAACATGAAACATTTATGTGAAATAGTCAATTGATAGGAGTCTTTGAATTACAGATCCTTCAGGTTTTTAACACTACTTTAGCATTAAAAAATGACTGATGAAAGGTTGATAAATTATGATTATAAATGGCTCTGATCTTGTATGTTGTGTATGTTTGTGAAAGATACATTGCTGTGTTCCATTGAGTCACTAGAAAAAGCCAGTGTTGTAAGAGAAAGATATGATCTAAATCAAGGGTTAAGAAGCTTTGTATGGTCAAGTTCTCAATTTCTGTAATATCAGATCTTGAAATGCTACTCTCATGATGATTAGGTAAGCTATCATCCCAGAATATTTGGGTAGTGTAATTATTGCTTTTTTTTTTTTCTTTTGTATCGGGCTGCAACTGTATGAGTTGTCTATTCATTGCTAATAACCATTCAAAAAGAAAAGCCAGGAATGAATCTCTAGGAAATTAGAGGTACCTTGGTACTGAGGGGAGATGCTAAAATAATTCCCATAATGAGATAGAGTGGCAGATTTGTACTTTGTTTCCAGGAAGACTTTTCCTTTCCTTTAAAAAAATCCAGTTATTATTGCAGTAGATGAATAGATTCTTTAGCAAGAATGTGTGTGAGGGGAGGGGAAGGACAGAAAAAACCCTTCTAGTCTCTTTGCTCATACCTTGTCTAGTAACTTTGTAAAGGAAAGCTTTTCAGACACATTCTTTTGACAAATGTAGGTATGTAAATTGATAGAGAATAGATAATCTAAAGCATGTGATCTTGATGAAGTTGTCAAATAAAAAGCACCTCCAAATGAAACATGGGTCTTTGAGCAACCTGGTCTAGTGGAAGGTGTCCCTGCCCGTGGTAGGGATGACAATCTTTCAGGTCCCTTCCAACCCAAATTAGAATTGATTCTAATTTGCTCTTTTACAGGATAAAGACAGCTAACTCCACTGCTTGCTGTGTCTCCCACCCTGCTGGCTGCCTTCTGCAGATAGGTGTATCATAGGCCTGTATCCCTAACCCTTCTGTCTCTTTCCCAAATAAGCAAAGTTTCTTCTCTTCCTCCCTCTTATATCCCTGGGCATGGTGTTTCCTCCATCCACCCTATTTAACTCCAACTCATCTGAAGTGGACACCTACAATTTTTAGCATCTACAGTCAGTTTGGCAAAACTGTAGGCTATTTATGATAAGAAGGTACTGGGTTATTGCAGGTATGTGTAACACTACCTGTATTTTTTTGCATCGCTGACATAATGCTGTTAACTTGGAAATTTAAGCCTCTCTGAAGTGGTAATTTATCGCTGGTTTATTTAAATGCTACAGCTGCGTTTGTGTGGAACAAGGAATATTTCTGGATGTTCCCTAATTTCCTTTTCAATGCATTCAGTGTGTGTTCCTTTTAAGAAGTAGGAGAAGAAAGCTCATACCAAAACCCACATGTTTTTGTTTCTTTATCCAACAGGACATTTGGGGCTGTTTCATTCCCATGTCTCCTGCCCTAAATATAAAGTGAGAGGTGATGATAATTTTCATTGAGCTTTATTTGGAATGTAAATAAGACAAAGGGTAGTTACTCTCAATGAAGCTATTTTGTTGTGTAAGGGTTTGTAAGTATTTTTGGTTTCTCAGTTAACCAGGAATAATTAGCCTTCCCATAATCTTTCCCCTTCTTCTAAAAATACAGTCTTCCTAAGAAATCTTCCTAAGACTGGAAATCAGTTGTCTTTTCCCCCTGATGAGGATCGACAGTGAGCACAAAGGATCATTTCCTAAAAGCTGATGCAGTGCCTAGTAAAGCCTGTGGAAATTACAGGGAATGATGGTGTCTGACAGAATCAGATTCCAACAGACTTTCTTGGCTCCGTTTCAAACTTTAAAGCTGCAATGGCTTTTTAGGAGAAACTGACTAAAAGTGCAGTGTCCTGGGACTGTCCCTCAGACATTTTTGCCAAGAAACAGTATCAAGAGCATTGCTTCTCCTTCCCATAGCATATCTAGGTATTGGCCGTTTGCTTCGGAATAACTGGCTACTGAATGTAGGCTGCCATAATCATACAGCTGAAGTATTAATTAAATGTAGTTTTACCATACTCCTTGCTGCTCTCTTGCGACAGCCTTTTGATTACCATAATTTAGCAGAGTTTTAAGTCCTGTGACATAGTTCTGCCTTCTGTGCCTATGTGAAAGGGGAAGGGTTAGCTACTGCTAAATGAAAAATCTTAAAACTCTGTACTATGTGTATACATACAATATTGATACTGGACTAAAAGGACTTCAGTTACTGTGTAGCAACCATTCTTTCTCAGCATCCTTTCATGGCATGTTTTCTTTGAGCTGCTAAGTATTTTTTCAGTTACCCAGTTGAGTCATATTTCTCCTCAAATGACTGATGTGAATCGAGCCTCAATAATTATCAGGCATAATCTATAACTATCCTGCTGTCATAAGGAAGCTGTGTGTGTATATATATATTTAAGGGGGAACTGCAGCAAAAAAATTCTGAATTGATGATGGTTTTCTGGGCTTATGTCAGGAAAATGTACCCCAGTTTGTGAATTTTGTGATGATCTATACCTACTGTAGCTAAATTGGCAAAACCCAATCCCTTCTTTTGTTGCATTTCCCCACCGTTCTGAGTTATAATGAGTCTTAGAAAATTGCCACCAAGTGGGAAAGATTCTTTAATTCTTATGTAGCTTCATTGATGGTTCCTGCTCTTTTCTTTGAAGGTAATGTTCATGTCTGACAGTCTTCAGAGGAATGTTTGTACTCCACACATTCTCATGATCTCTTGCCCTTGCTTAGTAATTTAAATAGTAGTCACTACTTGTCTCTATGGAGTTCTCTGGTAAGCAATTAGAAGCAAGGAGTTAGATGTGTTAAAATTTCTTGTTAAAATTGTAGTGTTTTTATTTGTGCCTTTGAAGCTAATTTGATGGAACACTCTTATTATGGCTCCTGGGTGGATAAACCAAAGTCTTTAATCTCGGTGTTCTCATTTCATGTTACCTGATGCTGTCTTTTGTTGTTAAAACAAACAGCACCCACAAAAACAAACCAACCAACCCAAACAGTTCTTCCCTTTCTTCCTCATTCAGTCTTTGTTCTAGAGAATATTTTATTCTGCAGGCGTACTTACAATACCTAGTAAGAAATCGCAATTAACAATTAAAAGGATGATGGACTTATTTTAATAATACATTTGGATTAAAATGGTGCCAGAATTCTTTTTTATAACTTTTTGGTCATAGTAGTTACTGCTTTGTGATAGACTGCTAAAAGGGGAAGGTGTCTTGAGCATATGCTGATATTACCACATTGATTTCTTTTAAGATGGAGATAGTATTGCTTTTCTCATTGTTGATGTATACAATGCTTTAAAGTTTCTTACTTGTAAACTTCTTGTCTATGAACTATTAACCCTTTATTTGACTGCTTTCTTTCAGAGATGTGGTACTGGGTCTTCCTCTGGGCTCTCTTCTCCTCTCTCTTTGTCCATGGTGCTGTGGGAGTATTAATGTTTGTGATGCTGCAGAGGCATAGGCAGGGGAGACTGATCTCTGTCATTGTGGTCAGCATTGGATTTCTGGGTTCTGTGACAGGAGCAATGATAACCAGTAAGTCTGTCTCTTGTTTTGTGCTTCTTTCTTGTTTTATATCTAATTTCTAAATGGTGGGGGGAAGCCCAAAAAACCCCAAACAAACAAACAAAAAAACCCCCGAATAAAACCCAACCTCCCTTCCAAAAAAAAAAAAACAACCCCCCCAAAAAACACCCAAAACCCACCCAAATCCACTTTTTTTTTCTTGTTTTGTTTGTTTGTTTGTTTTAATTTTTAGTAATTTAATTGTTTATTAAGGATTTTTCCTTAGGTATATAGCTATCCTAATGATAATGACAGCTGAGTTGCTCTTCTGTTGTGTAAAGATAACTACTATAAATTGTCAGAGGAGTGCAGAAGTCATCCTACTCTTTGATTTTGCACATTTGGAACCAAGCTATTCAGAAGGTGTATGCTCAACAGGTAATATCTGTTTGGGACCAGGAGGAATGGTCATGTCCTACCATACCTGTTGCAGATTTTTTTTTTTTTGTCAGAGATTTCTGATCAAGATCATCTCTTAGTACCCTTAAAGCCAAGGGTTTCTTTAGGAAATAAGGTCCTGATTCCCTTGGCTGCCAGGCTGAATTCCTGCTTGTTTCATTGGGCCTGCTGGAGGTTTTTAAATTGCACCTAGATAGGATGTTGCTGTTTTAAAAGAAATAAAGGTGCAGTGTAGGTAGTGATTTACAGCTAAGAAAATCCATTTGTTTGGGGAAGTTACACTTGGCTCATGAATTTGAAAGGACTTTCCAGGCTTGGGTTAGATGTTATTTGGGGTAGAGGAGAGGAAGGCCATTAGACCCCTCCACCTCATACCCCCCCAGCTCTGCTGTGTTCAAGGTAAAATGTTCTTTGACAAGGGCATCTGTTACAGAGTTTCTTATGTTGTTAGGCAAATGCCTACCACTTAAGATACATTTTAAATATTTTTTAAATTTCTTGCCCTTGTATCCACGGATAAGCTGCTAACCATTTTTCTGTTAAAGCAGCCTGCAGTAAAGTTCACAGAGCTGCAGTTAAAACTTGTGCTTTCTGCAATGTTTAATAGTTGGTATAAGTATTTTATGTAGTGAAACGCAGAAATGTGTCACCTGACCAAATGCGGAACACAAGTGATGTTGCCAAGAATGTTTTGAGGAAATGCTGCTTAGCTGTTTTCATCTAGAGTTATTGATATCACATACTGTTTTCCCCATCTTTCATAATAAATCTCATTATCCATATCAATAGCGAAATAAATGCCATAGGATCAGTAGGACACTTTGGCTTTATATCCAGCTTATCTAACTTACATACTACAGTAGCTTTCCCAAGCAAATAGGAGCATGGTGAGTTTTCTGTTTGTGGGGGAGAAAATAAGTAGTTATTGTTTGAAAGAAGGCTGATAAGTAGTTCTCAACATTAAAATAAATGGATTGAACAGGGCCTGTGTTAACCTGAGCAGTAGTTTCAGCCCAAATATCTTCAGTGTGGTTGAAAATGAAAGACTTTTGAGAGTAATGAGCTGTAAATCTAGCAATCCTCGTATAGTCTGTAAGCAAGCCTTTTTGCCTTTCATTCCCATTTTTGTGTACTGCCCAGGTGACCAGAACAGCAGTATGAATTCAGTTTACTCATATACACAAGTGATTTCTGACAGATTATTTCTTATTGCTACTGAAACTCCTTCTGCCTGTTGGTTTTCAAGATTAATAAAAATGCAAATTTCATTGAAAGTTTCATTAAAACTTTCCTCAAAAGGCTGTTTTAATTGCTGTATATTTGTCAGCCTAGAAGAATGTCCATCATAACATAGTATGGTTCAGTACAACTCTTTTTTTTTTTCTTTTCCTAAGGTGAGGTGGAACCAGTTCAGTGCCTTACATTACATGTTATGCCAATTTTTGTGCTATGATTAAAATGGCAATGGCCCAGTTACAAGGTCTATCATACATGAGCTTTTCTTAAGAACTGAAAACAGGAAATGTGGCACTGGGACATCCAAACAAAGATTTCTGGTAGACCAAGAAAGTCTGTGGTGGGAAATGTCTATGTTCAGTGTTATTAAAATTAGAGTACTTTATGTCTTTTATCTATGCATAAAAAGAGGAGCAACGCAGTTGTTTGTTTAGTGTCCTATTTTGAAGGTCAAAACATTTAATAAGTAAGTAGTACTGTTTATGTGTAAATTCACCTGAATTTCTTAGCTTAGACTGTAGACTCATTATATTCCCAAAGCTTTTGTGTAGAGCATTTGCAATGTGGTGAGCCAAATACTTTTACTTTCAGGTATTTTTATTTCTAGACAGCACTGAATTACTTCATACTGAAAGAAATTATGTGGGGAGCTTCTGGAGACAAATTATGTTGATAAAATATTAAAGAAAGGATTTTTAATAGCTGTTGTGTTGCAAACTGGTTGAAATATTTAGTTGTTCAGATACGTCTGGACCAGTGTTTAAGAAACTAAAATAGCAAGCTGGCTTCAATTTGCATTTTGTATTTCCAGTCGTCTGCATCATTTGTGTAGTTGAATGACTGCAGTGTGTAGATTATTAAAGAGTGCAAGTTTAATGTTGCTCCAGTAGAGCTTTCAAACTGTCTGGCCTTCTGGGATCTTCTCACCAGCATATAGCAGAGCAGCAAACTCCTCAGTTTCAGTTTCTAGGCTGTCATGGCTTAAGCCCAGCCAGCAACCCAGAACCATGCAGCTGCTCGCTCACTACCCCCCCCCCCCCACTTCGTCCCCCTGCTCCCAGACGGATGGGGGGGAGAATTGTAAGAATGTAACTCCCACGGATTGAGATAAGAATAGTCCAGTAACTCAGGTATAACACAAACCACTGCTGCTACCACCAGTAATAATAATGACAAGGGAAATAACAAGGGAAGAGAATACAACAGATCACCACCCGCCAACCAGTACCCAGCCTGACCTGAGCAGTGATCTAGCCCTTCAGGTAACTACCCACAGTCTATATACTGGGCATGACGTGCTGTGGTATGGAATACCTCTTTGGCTAGTTTGGGTCAGGTGTCCTATCTCTGCTTCCTCCCAGCTTCCTCTCTTCCCTGGCAGAGCATGAGACTCAGAAAGTCATTGGTCGGAGTAAACATTACTGAGCAGCAACTAAAAACATCGGTGTTATCAGCTTTGTTCCCAGGCAGAAAGTCAGTAACACAGCACTGCACCAGCTACTAAGAAAAGGAGAAAAATGACTGCTACTGCTGAACCCAGGACATAGGCTTTGAGAAATTATGGAACTTAATGTTATCAATTAAAGTTATAAAGAATTTACTGAATAGTAGTGGGTACTGCCAACCTTCCCTCCCCTCCCCAAAACAAAACAAAGCCAACCAAGAAACCCCCACAACATAACATAACAAAACACCAAACCCCACAAACCCAACCATGATCAGATAAATGTCAAGCAGTTTGAGGCAGGTATTTTAGCTTTATTTTATCTAGAACTGTCTGTCCTTCCTCCTTTCTGCAAACACACTCCTTTTTGGTGACAAATTCTCATTTCCCTCATTGGCCTATTGTACTATACTTTGGCTTTATATCAGCTGTGCCAGGTTATGCATTACAGGTTGTATTGCACGTGTTAATTGAGTATAAATACATAATTATAAAGCTACCACTTCTTAACGTTTTTATTATTGTTATTTTCCAGAATATCTCAATGTTTTCTCAAGAAGCCAAAAATTTCCATTGTTGATTAACTTATCAAGTTCTGGTATCCCAAATTAGCCAGTTTCAATTCACTTTCAGAATTCAATCACCAAAGTAATTTTAATATCAGTACTGGGCTCAATCTAAAGGATCTCTTTCAATTTTTGACAGCAGATAGTCACAAAACAGGTGGAAAAGTTTATCCAAGGCAACTGAGTGAAATACCATAAGGCTGCCCTTTTAGTGAGATATTTCTGACAAAATAGACTTTTATAGGATATGGTTTGAGTTTTTAAAAACAAAACCACAACAAGACCAAACCCAAAAGAAAACAAAAAAAACCCCAAAAAAACCTCCACAACAAAACACACAACCCATCCACAACAATAAAGCAATAAATGAAATCCAAAGCTCACCTAACAGTCTGATAAAGAATGTTTGTTAAAGCTGTTATAGCCACAATAACTAGTGAGTTCTACTCTTCTTAATACATTTGTAAATATGAGGTGTTACTTTTTCTAAGTAACAGATGACTCAGATACAGATTGTACTTTCAGGAAATCTGTTGGGACTTCATGTATTTCCGTGTCACTAATGGGTTTTTGATCACTTCAGCAGACTATTTCTGTTAGTGACTTCGCAAAACCAAGGAAATTCCAATTTTTTTAACTCTTGCCTGTAATTTAAAAGGAATGGTGGTGGCTTTTCAGTTTGAGGCTGAAAAAGCCTCTGTGATCTTTGGAAGCATTTAATTATGATTAGATGGCATCTGAGACCAGACACACTGAAAGTTTATAATTAAATTTTGGGTTGGGTCTTCAGGAAAAAAAAAAATTGGAAAAAAAAAAGACAAACAATGTTTGTTCTATAGGCAAGGAAAGCAAACACTGTATAGAAAACACTACTTCAGAAAGTATTAGATAAAAGCTTCATTTTACGTGAACTTTTGAGGTTTGGATTCAGTAACATTTTTACCTGTGGACACTGCTGTATTCAAGCCTGTATTTCTTTTCTGAGTGAACATTTTAGTATCCTTAAGTCTCAGAAGTTGTTTGAACAGAAAATATTATTTGTTATTAGCACGTTATCGTTTTGACTGATTGATACAAGGATTGCATTTTTTCCAAGATATCTCAGCTGTACCTGTGACTTCTGTTGTTCAGATGCATGTGATACATTCAGTATGCAAAAGTAGAGGGGAGTTAGTAGCACCTGGATTTGTTTAGAGTACAGTATTTTGTTTCTGGTTTATCCTGGCCATTCCATATTGTGAGAAAGCTCACCAATCATATTCATGGTTACATACACAGAGATTCTGTCATACTACTTCATGGATAACAATGCAATACTTTGATACTTTTCATATTTTGCATGATTTGCTAAATACTTGTTAACAGTTTGGTACTTTAAGTCTAAACTGGCACACTATGACCAGGTTATTCAACTGAAATGTTAAATGAAGCTAAGAAATTTGTATTTGTTTAGAGTTATTTTGTAGACTCTAGCAGTCTGACTGTTGTCTTCTCCCTGTCTGCTGTGCAAGCACAATTAAATCACACTTTGAACTCAGTCAGTTTTTAGGGGATTTTTTGCATTTCAAATTAGCAGAAGGCAAAAATGTAAAAAAAACCCCAACAAACCCCAAACAAAAAACCACACACACACATACAAAGAAAAAAAAAACAACCTAAAAAAAAACAACCAACAAAAACCACCCTCAAAACAAAGCCAACCAAAAAAAAAAAAAAAAAAGCAAACAAAAAGCCAAAAACAAACCCAGGCAAACTTTTGGAGACGTCTACAGGGAAATGGCAAGATTTAATTTTTTTCAAATCAAACTGATATTGTAAAAGTTAATCTGGTTCAGTTGGGAAAATCATTCCTGAAGGACTTGCATAACCAGAAAAATGCAAGCAAGGCTTTCTATAATGACATGAAGTAATACAGAGCTTGCCAATGTTCTATAATTAGCTGATGCATAGACATAGTAAATAGTTTGTTATATTTGGATTTTACTGTGTTTTGATCGTTGTTTTTCTTGTGATTCTTAGGTGCTGCAGTGGCTGGAATTTACAGAGTAGCAGGAAAGAATATGGCTCCCTTAGAAGCTCTTGTCTTTGGTGTTGGACAGACAGTACTGACGTTAATTATATCATTTTCAAGAATTCTCGCAACACTTTGAGACTTAAGTAGAAGGGAAAAAAATCAACTAGTTTAAAGAAATTCTTAATCTGAGGAGAAGCTTCCTGAAAATGGATTCACCAGCTTGCGACCTTGAATCTAGTGCGAGAGAAAGGAAGCTATGTGGAACATGCACTACAAAGCTGGAGGTTCAGTCAAATGAGCAGACTGTCCTCTAGTGTCTGAACTGTTGTATTTCTGCACTGCTCCTTACGTGCCTCAGTCATAGGCAAGGTGCAATCCTTGTGTGCGAAGTTGAGGTAAAGCACCTTGAATAGCTGCCAGTCAGGTTAATGCTGAGTGGTGGGATCATTGTTCTTAACAGTGTTGTAATGAAATAAAGGGATGCTCCTGAAAATTTCTGTACATGCCAAATTTGGAGTTTAATTCTTAACTGTTGGCTGAGTAAGCTTTGAAGTTGCAGTTGTAGGAGGATGCTGTGAGCATACACTTGAATTCAGGTAAAATAGCAACTGACTTTTGTATTAACACAATCTCTTTGGCAAAAATGTAAAAAAAAAAAAAAAAGTAAAATTGAAGATATGTGCAGGGAAACAGCAAGATTCAGTTTTCTTAAACTTCAGCATTCGAAGCAACTGAACAACCGTTAGGTCTGCTTCAAAGATGAATTTTTGGGGCTTAAGAATGACAGCTTTAACAACCCTTTTAGCACCAATGTAATTAGCACTATGTGTAGAAGGGCTCATGGCAGTTTTCTGAAGCTCAGCACATCATTTCTTCATGGGTTTAGCTTGTTAGAAATCAGTAGTTTTAGGAGACTGTATGCGGGTTACTAAGTACAATCTGTTGTGTATTCACAAATGAATTTTAAGTTGATGCTTTCCTTGAAGTTATTTTGTCTTAAACTACAGATAGTTACCAGCCCTTCTGAAAGTCTCAGAAAGGTTACTTGTTAGTAATAAGCTCCCTGTATTTATTTAAACACTGGTAGGCCTCTTAACCCTACATGTATTCTTTAAAGAACACACAAATATAACAGACTTTAAGAGAATACACCTATGAGGAAAATGGGAAGGGATAAAAATATGGCCTGCTGGTTTTCTACCGAACAAAAATGTTAAGTTTAAAATAGTTACTATACACCAAAATTTTTAAAATTGGGGCAGCACTAATGTATTTATTACCTTGTTTCTGAACACTTTGTATCTTTGGAAAGATTAAGGTACCTAGGACTTTCAAATACTTAGTTTTCAGTAGAGTTTGTGCTTTTCTAGTCTAAAAGGGACAGTAGTGTTGTGCATGTGAAATGTCTTAAATATAAATGTTTTGGAGTGAATAGAAATTTTAAGTCTAATTACTAATTATTTATGAAACACAAAATTTAAAGGACACAAAGTTCTGTGTGAGGAATAAAGCAACTTTTAGATCTTTCCTCAACTGAATGCTTTTCAGCAGTTACTTTTTAATGCTGGCAGGAAGAGTAAATTGCTGAAAAGTTATGTTGTTAAGATGTCAAAAAGACTTTCAGGACTGTTGAAGCCACTGGGACCAACTGCAAAACTGAAAGAATATGGTTAAAATATAACTTGCAATCCAGTCATATTGCCTAGTGCTTCAAAATGTTGTAATTAATTAGCCTGTCTGCCTTCTTTTCATTTCACATGAACTGTTTTTGGTTGGTTGTTTTTTAAGTGCTAAGGATGTTAATATTATTTGTTTTCTTTTAAAGTATATAAGTCGTCTTTGGAAAATGTAGAGAGTTATGTCTTTGCAGGGAACAAGGTGAAATACAGGTTTATAAATCTTTTCAGTGTTATTTTTGTCTTTGAATTGCTTTAAAAAGTGGCTGAATACATACCTTTTTAATGTCTTCAAAAAGTATATTTTTCATGGTTTTGGGGTTTTTTGGGTCTGTGGCTTTTGTGCTGATACTTTCTGGCATATAACAGTGATTGCACTTTAGTAGACAATGAAATTATTACATCTGTAAAAGACAATTTAAACTTCTCCCCATTGTCTTAAATTATGAGAAAACTGGTTTCAGGTGTTTAAGTCAAATTGAATAATAAAATAATTGAATTTATTTCTCCTAATGTGCCTTGTTACGTATATTTTTAGGGGAGAGGATTTAAAAGACCACCAAATTATATCTTCATTTTTGTTCTATTTTTGTTATTTCTGGTTAATTTGGTTATTTGATATAATGTCTTACTCAACAGACATTAAAACATTTGTCTGACAACCTAGAAGGTGTTAGTCTGGATCAAACCCAAGTGTTTCATGAAGCACTGTATTCAGTAATTTAGATTGCCTCCTGACTCACGCTGCAACTTCTTCCTACTTTCCAGTTTCCTGGAACATCTTGATTCTTCTTCATTGCAAGAGGCTGTTGTGCTACCACTGATCAATGGCTTGCTGTCTTTCACCAAGTTAAATTATAACACTACTATTAATGAAATGCATACACAAAGGTTTTCTTGATGAACTTCCTCATTTTAATTGCAGTGCCAGTGAAATTCTTGCCATTATAACCTTCCCCCTTTGAAAAGGAGAGATCTTTGCAAATGTTAAGCTATGCCTTCTGCCAAATAATTTTTATCATTGTAATAACTCCTACAACGCTGTTAGGTGCTTAGTTGTCTCTGCTTTATATGGCTGTATTGCCTTGCCACAGTGAATAGGCAGATAATGTAATGCCTAAGTGGCTTAAAAGAGAAGTATTTGATAGAAAATTCTGTTTAACTATTTCTTGTGAGGAATATATGAGGACAGATAGGTTGTCAATGAAGTAGTATTTGATCATAGTATGAACTTAACTGTGTGATAACTCCAGTAGTAGAAGGAAGTGTGAGTAAGTGGCCTTACGTCTATGATAGTTTGAAGTTTCATTCCACATCCTTAAAAACAGTATTGTTTAGCATAAGGTGCTGTAGTCAGTGCAATGTATACATGTGTGTATTTGTCTATATATGAATAATGTTTTTGTGCTGTGTTTGATACCTTATGGATGCTAGCAATTGAAATAACTTTTCCAAGAAAGAGAAAATTATTTCAGGTAACTGGTTTTGGCTTTATTAGTTTTATTTTTGGTTTCATTTTGTTTTGGTTTTGTGGGTTTTTTTTTTGTGGCTTTTTTGTTTGTTTGTTTTTTGTTTTGTTTTCCTCTTGTTATTAGGCTACAAAGCTATCTTGTGTGTGAATGGCACCAATGGTACTCTGGTTCCCTTTGGACAATACAGTGTTGTGCAGATGTCCACACAAGATCTTTTAGCACTATCTTCAAATAGCTCTGCCTTTCCCTGCATTGTATCACTAGGCACATTCTGCATTGTGAGTGATTAATTTCTAGTGAAGAACAAATAATGCATCAACACAATTTAATCTTTGGAGGAGAAGGAATACTGAATATAATATTCAATGTGAAGAAGCTTCTACTGCTTTGTTAGAAGCTGTTATTGTTAAGGATTTACACATTCTACACACAATTTTTAATGTGATCATAGAACCAGAGAACTGGAGGTTGGAAGGGACTTCAAGGATCATCTAGTCCAACCTTTCTTGGTAAAAGCACAGTCTAGACAAGATTTCCCAGCACCCTCTCCAGATGAATCTTAAAAGTGTCTAACACTGGGGAACACACCACTTCCCTGGGTACTTTATTCCTCTGGCTGATTTTTTCCATGTGACTCCTTGTAAAAAGGGAGTCTTCATCTTCTTTGTAGATAAAGGTCTCTCCTTGAGCCTTCTTTTCTTAAGCCTGCGCTAACTCAGCTCTCCTAGCCTCTCCTTACACAGCAGGCTTCCCAGTCCTCTGAACAACTTTGTGGCCCTTCTCTAGACCCTCTCCAGCCTGTCCACATCTTTTTTGCATAGTGGGGACCAAAACTGAGCACAGTATTCCAGGTGTGCTTGACAAGCAATAAAGGATACCAAGCTCCACAATACTGTGATCACTACAGCTAAGGCTATCACTAACTGTTATTACAAAGCAGGTTTTCTTGGTGTGTAAGTAGCAAGAAGTCCAGCAGTGCCTCATTCCTGGTTGGCACCTGTATGAGGAGCAGTCATCTATGCATTCCAGGAACTTGACGGATGACATAAGCTGCTGTATTGTTTTTCCAACATATATCTGGGTAGTTGAAGTCACCCATAAGAATCAGCTTCTGTTGAACCAAAGCTTGCTTAAGTGATGCAAATATTGCTCCATTGGCTGCCTTGTCTTGGCTAGGAGATCAGTAGGAGATGCCTATGGTAAGATCTCTTTGGAGATGACCACTCTAATCTTGAACTGGAGGCATTTGATAGGATTTCCACAATTGCTGTAGTTGACTTCTATACATTCAAGGTTTTCCTCAAATCAGAGTATAATTCTTCCTTTTCTTCTCTGCCTGTCTTTGTAAAGCAGCCTATAGCCATCCATCACAATCTTCAGGTCATGTGAGCATTCATGTTTTAGTTATTCCTGTGATATCATAAATTCCTGTCACGACGCAGAGTACCAGTTCCTCCTGTTTTTACCCTAGGCTGTGTGCGTTGGTATACATATGCTTGAGGTGGCTGGTGTTCTGGTTCTTACCTTTGGCAGCAGCTAAGGAACATTTGTCACTGCTCCAGTTGGCCTGACTTACACCCCAGATCAAAAAATCCCAACCTACACTGCAGGAAAAAAGTCTTCTAAATAATTATTGTATTTAATGATGTAGCTAATTTAGAGTTTATGAAATTAATCTGTGTACCTAGTGATATCATTTTAAGTTTGCTTTTGACAGTTTTTTAAAGGAACCAATAATTTAACCGGTTTTGAACGTTCAACGTGGACCAAAGAGAGTAGTCCTGATTTTGTGTGAAGTAGCTTTTTGCTTTTGAAGTACACTGTTTTATTGCTCTAATGGCAATAATGTTCCCTCTTCAACGTATTGCACATAGAGATTTATTTTGCTTGCAAGCTGTATTTGAATTCTGTTGGGGGGAGAGGCGTATATAGTGCCATTTGAGTGGAAGCTCTAATGGAGCTCTAATAAGGGTAAGAAGTGATTTAATTGTTATTTCCTGTTTTAATTTATGTATTTCATGCACTAAACATACTCTAATAATGCCTTCTCTTCATTAAATCTGATTATTATAAGAGTATTAAGCTGCATGGTTTCCTACTCAGCCATTCAACATCACATTTGTGTAATTCCACATAAGCAGACGCGATAGTATTCCTGGGTGTAATGAAGTGTGGATGAATCAGGGCCAAAAAAGACTCAGGATGTGACTCTAATAAGGCTTAGAAAAACAATTGTAAACATTAATTTTTTTTTTTTCGGCCACTCTTCTGTTTCTAGAAATAAGCCTTTTTGTCATATGTGTATTTCAGTTAAGGAGAAAAATATGAAACTTAGTTGTTAGGATGACAACTGCAGCCTAATCCCGACAATTTAAGATGAAATGAGATTCTCAATGTTGTTCATATATTATAATGGAAGGTTACACATATAAATGCTGGGACATACTTTTATTTAGTTAACCAGAATTTACAATACAACTGCATCAGCACACTGACACAATACCTTTTGAATTATTTTTTTTTAACTTCTGGACTGGGATCAGCCCACAGTGAAAAGACTTTAAATCCTCAGCTGTTGCTTCAGAAGGAATAAGTGTTCTTTGTGTACTGGTGAATTCAATGCATCTGAAATTTTGTATTGCATTTAAAGTCAGATATTTGGTCATGCCTTGGTCGCCATCACCACAGCCATTAAGGTCAGCAGGAAAACTTCTGTGCTCTGTTACAGCAGTGAAATCTTCAGCTGGGCTGCGTTAGTTTGTGTCCTACTCATAGGACATTCTCACTTTAACTACACATTCCTTGGTGAAAATGAAGTTGTCATAGAAGGTAGACTTTAACCTGAGTACATACCATTGGGTACCTTCTAGGTGAAAAAGACTGTGCCCTACCAGCATGCTGTTCCCCACTTTTGTTCCTAGACTTATACTTAAAATCAGTTTGGGCATCAAGTTTAAATGTAATCACAGAGATGTCTCTAAATCTGCAAAGATATGCTACTGCTCAGGGTGTTCTCCCAGTATAGCAGGTATAAAAAAACTATTAGACTCTCGAGTAGTTCCAAAGAAGTATTTTCTTTCAGGAACACTTTTTTTTTTTTTCACTTCTAGGTGTTCATCTTGTAGTTCCTGAATGTTTTAAGAAGTTACTGTGTGAATACCAGTAAGGTTTGTCAGTTGTTAAAGGGAATGGATTGCATGTCCTTTTGTGCTGCTTCTGTGAATTGGAAAACAACCCCAAACCACGAAACAATTCTAAGGGAACATAAATACTCAAGAGATATTTTCAATAAAATACATAATATTTAATTGCTGTAAATAGCATTTTGATTTGAGATCTAGCTTTCTAAGTTTAATTCAGGTATTTAACATCACCATTATATAATATATTTCTGGATTATTCATCAATATAAGGTATATAGATGAGGCCTTTGGAGCTAAAAATCTAAAACCTCTTAAAATCAGGTGGCTGGAGATTTTAATAGTTTGAAATGTGCTAAGCTTTTATACAGACAAAGAAGTTTTCAAGGCTCAATATTTTGTGGGTTTAGAGGATAATCAGGTATTTATACAACTCACATTTTGACTGTGGCAATATACAGAATAGAACATAATTCTTCAGAAATGCTTACAGAAACCACTGTAGACAGATAGCTGATTTACAGTTAGAAGAAGGCTACAGTATTTTACATCTGTATTGATACCTATAACAGTTGTACCATAAGCTTTACAAATACAGTCAACATTATAACCATTTGGATTTGGCTGAGCAAATAAGGAGGAGAGCAAAAAGGAAATTTGAAAATCTTTAAAAATGATAAAGGTAAAAAGGATCTATTAGTCCACTGACAAAATTGGGACCCTCCAATACTGGCTCTCATCATACACAGTAGGTCATACGCAATGCAGGATAATATCTCTCTATAAAGTGTCTCGTGAATAGAATGCATTGTGCAAATTTGTATTAGAAATAAATGTTCATATTTTCACTTGAAGTTACCTAAATTAAAAGGCATTATTCTGAAACTCAAAGATAGGAAGA